AGATCACTTCAATATCCTCACTTGCATAAACCTTATAGGTAAGGCTTGGGAAGGAGCGACTTGCAAAACTTTGATTTCTGCTTCGAGAAAATTGTGGCCAGAATGTGTACAAGAGAGGGATTTTGAAGGGGCTGACCCTAAGGAGCCTATGCCAGTTGTGTAATCTATTGTGGCATTGGGGAAGTCCATGGGGTTGGAGGTGAGTGACGAGGATGTGGAAGAGTTGGTGGAGGACCACAGGGAAGAGCTAACCACTGAAGAGCTGTAAGAGCTTCATCTGCAACAGCAAGAGATCACAGATCAGGAAATTGCTGCAGAGGAGGAGGAAGAGAGATGGAGGAAGGTGCCTTCTTCAAAGATTAAGGATATTTGTGCAAAGTGGACTGAAGTGCAAACATTTATGGATGAACTTCACCCTGACAAAGCTGTTGCAGGCCGTATTGGCAACATGTACAATGACAGTGTTGTGTCCCGCTTCAGATAAATCTTAAAGAAACACCAGAAACAGAGCCCTGTAGACAGATATTTTGTGCGACAGGGGTCCAGTGACTCTCAAGTTGTTCCCAGTGTCTCTTTTAAAAACAAAGAAGGGAAGTAACCCCAGATAAGGACTTGGTACCTGAAGTCCTAATGGAAGGAGATTCTCCTTCCAAACAATAGTGTACGCCTTCTTCCTATCCCCTCTTCCCATCTTCGATCCACCCAGAAGTCTTCAGTAAAGGTAAATGTAAAGTTATTATTATTTTATATATGTATGTTCTTGATTTCTCATTGTTTTCAGTATGTAAATCTTTATTTAATTTGAAAAAAATTATTATATTTTAATATTTTTGGGTGTCTGGAACGGATTAATTTTATTTCCAGTATTTCTTATGGGGAAAATGGTTTTGCCATTCGGCAATTTCGTCATTCGGCAGACTCTCTGGAATGGATTAATCACGAAACTTGGGGGTCCACTGTACAGATGTTTCATATTACTATTGTTCTAACATTTGTGTTCATATATTCAGTCACTGGTCATGTACCTAGGGCTGTTCAAGTCTGTGAAAGTCCTTGAAACACACTTCCATACTCTGCAGGCTTTACACATCTTTCTTCTTTCAACAAACTGGCCATATCCCACCAAGGCAGGGTGACCTAAAAAGAAAAACAAAAGTTTCTCTTTTTAAGTGGGCGACAAGCAAAATTATCTTTTTTTTTTTTTTTTTTTTTGGTCCAATTTCAATGGAATTTTATTGTGAATTAAGCAGCATTTGAAACCTAGACACTGTGTTTTTAGTGACTTTTTCCCTTACAGTTAGATAAAAATAAATAGTGCCCTGTTCTACAGGGCTTAAATCTATCCTTCTATTACAAAATTGGTAAGACTTACAATATTCTAGTCAGTATCAGATGAAAGTTAACAAGTTAGGTAATCTGAATACATGGACGTTTGAGCAAAATGTCAATAGATTGCATTATACAAAATGTTGAAATATGTTTTTTTTTAAGAACATTTTTTGGGAGAAAAAAATTCAGTAAATACAAAACAGTAAAACATATTGCAAACCTTATGTAATTCATTAGAACCATCATTCCTCAATAATGTGTGAAAAAATCATGATGCTCCTATAAATACTCTTTGGATGAGTGGGAAAACAATGCCAATAACTTATTCCTGAGTTATTTATAATTATGTTTTATGTAAAACTCGATGGTTATGGCCCGCCAAATCTGAGCGTATTGCACCCCTCCGTCCTTGTTGACAGCCTGCAGGCTACTGAGGGACAATCTTACTGCTCTCTTCACTTTAGTCCTCACAGAAGTTGCCATGTAGAGTATGTAGAATGAAACAATCACAAAAATCGTAATTTTTGGAATAAAAAACAACACTAATTGCTAACATGTCCTCTTGCTGACAGCAAGAACAAAAAAATTACATTTGTGGAAAAACATACTTAGAAATATGATAGAAACAAGCTGATTCCACCAACATGTTGCCAGAATTATGCACTAATTTTTGGTAAGAAAACATTGTTTTCCATAATTTTTCAATTTCATTTTTTGTCACTAAAAAAAGGTTCATCTCCATAAATTCAGTGAGGTATACAGGAGAAGGGGTTACTGGCCCTTTGTTTCCGGCATTTTAGTCGCCTCTTATGACATGCATGGCTTACAGAGAAAGAATTCTGTTCCACTTCCCCATGGAGAGTTTTATGCATCTCTACATATAAGATGTGTCTCTGCACTTTGCTTGTGCCTTACTGTGTGTACATAGACATACATCTCTTCTGAGCCCGTTTCATCATTTCTGTGGCAGGAAGTTTTGTTAGGAAGTGATCACCAAACTTCAGATGAGAGGGTATTCAATAATCATCTCTCAGCTATATTTCCAGTGCCCTCAGTGTCACTTTCAGTCATTACATATTCAGAATCAAAGTACTCATCATTGGTTCCATAATTATCATTGCTGGAGCAGTCATTGGGTAATGGAACTCGTTTATTTTGCCTGGGAGTGAGGCCTTTGCATCTGCATGGCATGGTGAACAAGGTGTACTAAATATAGCTTTCCCACAATGTTCTGCATGGGCCCCAATTTTCGGTATACTGTGCACAGTGACCATGCACACCCATTCTCTCATATGTAGACCAACCAGGCCTCTCCCACTAAATTTGAAGCCACTAGAATTTAGGCATAGCTCTGTGTCAGGGACTCTGGCATCAGTGACATAATACTACATGATGGCCATTGAAAAGGTTAGTAGAGGTGAGTGGATTTTTTTTTTGTTTTTATGGCTTGATGTGCTGTTGGAGTGTGAGCAAGGTTAATGAAGGGTTTCATGGAAGCAGGTTAGCCACACACAAGTCCTGGAATTGGGAAGTACAATGCCTGCACTTTGAAAGTTTGGATACTGCAGTGTGGTGTCAGTTGAATTGTGATTTCTGCACACTTCTAGCAAGACATCTGTTGAATGAGTGATGGTAAAAGTGTTTCTTTATTTAGGTCTTTCTACCTCAGTGGGAGATGGCTGGTGTGTTAAAAACTTAAAAAAGAAAAAAAGTAAAATCTCTTAAATACTTAACCCTTTCAGGGTCGCCTGAAAAAAGAAAAAAAGTAAAATCTCTTAAATACTTAACCCTTTCAGGGTCGCCAGGCCCTCTCCGAGACTTGTTCTCAGGGTCACCAAATTTTCAAAAAAAAAAAAAAAAAAAAAATCTTATGAAATGATAAAGAATCTTTTCCCGATGATAATGACACCAAAAGTATGAAATTGGATGGAAAACTTACGGAATTATGCTTTCGCGAAGTTAGCGGTCTCGACAATGTTTATGCATCAGCGATTTTGCCCATTTTGATCCTTATTTTCGGCCAATTTCTGTGTACTAATTGACAAAAAACATAACTATTTTGTTAGAACTCCATTTTTTCTATTGAATGAGTACAAGAAACCACCCATTTACCGATTTCAACTATCCAATAAAGTGGTCAGAATTTAGCAATTTTGCCAATTTCACACAAATTTCAAAAGATGCCAATTTCAGAATAGGGTCCAGAATAAACAAGAAAGACATTCCTGGCACTAAAATAACATTTCCTCAGTTCATTAGTCACGTCCCCACGCCCCTCTTACATTCTTTTGCTTTCCACTTTGAATTTTTATTCTCACAAGAAATAGAAGATTTACTGTTATGCAGACTACTGCATTAGTGTAAAAAAATGGTATAAATAATATTGACGCACTCGCGAAAGAATATTAGACTTACCAGTTAACGTGTATTGGACGCTTGGCATGATTTGTTTACTTTTGAACTTTGGTAAAAATCGAACATTTCTGCTACTTTGAGCTCAATTTCAAGGTACTTTTCATTATAAAACCAGTCAAAATCATCTCAATTTCTGTGATATGTCTTCCATTCAGTAAAATGAGACCAAGAAAACTAGAATACAACAATAAATACATACGAAAATACAGTGCAAAGTTGCTGTTTTATTCCAAAAAAATGGTCAAAGTTTTTTTTTTTCTCATTATGCACTGTGTGCTGCAGGATTTTTTTTATACTGTGCACACTGACCACATAGACCCATTCTTTCATATGTAGGCCTACCAGCTTTCTCCCACTAGATTTGAGGGCGCTAGAATTTAGGCGTACTAGTACGTCAAAAACCCTGGGTCGTAAGCCGTACTAGTACGGCCGAAGCCCTCAAAGGGTTAAACAATAATTTAATTATGGTGCAATACACAGTATTGAGTAGAGATAACCTTAATATATCTATGAATGTGTACTGTAAAATTAATCAAATAATTAAAAAGTAGCAGTACAGTGGCATTTTATTCATTAACCATTGCTACACACATGGTCAAACAAACAAAAAAAAAATCTGCAAAATATGAGCAATAGAAATTCATGGTTTCTCTGGGCATTGACAGGGTTTGAGTAACACAGATGTTAAAACAAGTAAGAGTGACTGTATTTCCTTCTTTGATTCATCATATTGTGGAGGAAGTGGCTCTGTGGTAAAAATGTTATATCAAATCATTGCTCAGTGTTATGCTCTGCTTTCTTCATAAAAGCATTACTGTATTGAGCAACATTCTTCTCAGTCTGTATATGCTTAACACCTTCCCTCATCCTTAGTTAACTTTGTCATATGTAGTGTGTTAAGACAGCAGTGTACCCATTTTTGTTTTATAGTTTTTTCTCAGATACTTATTTCTCTACATTGCCTGATCTGTGCAATATTTTACACTACAAAATTCACATTGTTTATTAATAACCATTGTTTCATTTTGTTTTGCATACTTTTTCTTTTAATCGCTGTCCTGCCATAAATTTTGCCTTGAACACTCAAATACCTTTGTAGTTCTAGTTAAATGATTGCATAGAATTCAAGTTCTGTTCTGCATTTGTGTGTCTTTCCACTAATTTGTCAGCTGTATACTATTGTTCTCTGCTTAGAATAGGATTTTTTCAGTCATATTTGTTGAATATGGATGTACTACATTGTATTCCTTTTTCAGGTATCCGGAAAAGCTGAGTTCTTGCCAGATGATGTCCCAAATGCAATTGAAGTGGTTGGTCGCATTACACCAGATACTGTGTGGGGCTACATTGCACAAATGAAGAAGAGTGGCTCTAAAGTAAGTTTAAGGTTTTAGAGTCTACATATGCATGGGTCCTGAGATAAATCTAATTCTTGAAAAACTTGATTTTTGGCTTAATATTATTCACTGAAGCATCTGTTTCTCTTTATCAGTTGAAGATGTCTGGGTAATCCTTTTTGTTTTGCTAGAAAGAAACAACTTGGAGTGTATGACATGGATTAGAGGGGGACATAGTTTTGGCAGTGTTTTCTGCAATAGTTTACTGATTACATAGATAAAAATACTTTAACTCTTTAACTGTGTTCATTGTACTAGTCTGCAGGTGCTGGTACTGCATCTAACGAATTGGAATGCACCATTTTTTATACTCGCAAATCTGCCACCTGCTAATATTTTTTTACGTCAGGGCAACTCTTTGGGTCTTCCATCCATTTATACATACAGAAAAAAAACCAAAGGCCAGCAGAGTTCACACAGTGTATTGTGGTTAACTTCTCAGGGAATGACTGTATGTCCAATGTGCTAGTATGTCTCACTAGGAAAAGTAAACAAGAGAACCAGAAACTGTTGTTCCACCACCAGCTTCCTTACCAGCAAACAGGGTGTGCAAGTGGCTCAAAGATGACTTACTTAGTCCAAATTTATTACAGTTTCATGATACTATTAGTGGAGTTCAGCCACAAAGCATATTAGGTATAACCCAGAATAAGCAAGTAAAGTCAGTGTGATTAATTTCCATGTTTTGATGAGTAATGCACTCTGAAATAATTTTAATATTATAAGTAAAAAGAAAATATAAAATAACAATTATAAAGTATAAACACCACATATATAATGCAGTAAAGTCAATCAGTATTACTTATTTCCATGTTTTGAGGAGTTCAGTATTACACTCTGAAACAATTGTAATGTGATAAGTATTCCTTGTACCTAGCCTCAGAAGACTAAAGTAGTAAAAAAAAACTCATGCTTTATATATACTGGTTATTCCAAGTGAAGCAATGTTTGAAGTGCTAAAACACATTGAAAGACATTTAATATTATAAAAACTAGTGTATATAATGTTAAACATTAAGAGCAGTTAAAAAAAAAACAGAAAAACAATCATATCTTGGCATCAGTAAATTGTAAAATGTAAACATTGCTTGTGCTTGAATTCCATTTGTACAGATTAGTGATCATTTTTTCACCAACTTCAACACACCATAAAATCTTAAGTTTTAAGTTTTTGTCAGATTCCACTCATTTTACTCTTTTTCAATTCAGAAAAAATTAACTCTATCGAACTGTAAGAAAATACATACATACGTACATACATACATACAACTTGTTGAAAAAAAAAAATGTATATATATATATATACATGATGGTAGGATTGCTGGTGTCTTTTGTCTGTCTCATAAATATGCAAGATTACAGGTATGTCTTGCTACTTCTACTTACACTTAGGTCACACTACACATACATGTACACGTTTATTTATACACACTCATCTGAGTTTTCTTTGATTTTATCTTAATAGTTCTTGGTCTTATTACTTTTCCTTTTATATCCATGGGGAAGTGGAATAAGAATCTTTCCTCCGTAAGCCATGCGTGTTGTAAAAGTCAACTAAAATGCCGGGAACAATGGGCTAGTAACCCCTTTTCCTGTAAAGATTACTAAAAAGAATAAGAAGAAGAAAATTGTCAAAGTGGGAAGTCTGAATGTGCGTGGATGTTGTGCAAATGATAAGAAAGAGATGATTGTGGATGTTATGAATGAGAAGAAACTGGATGTCCTGGCTTTTAAGTGAAACAAAGCTGAAGGGGGTGGGAGAGTTTCAATGGAGAGGAATAAATGGGATTAGGTCAGGGGTTTCAAATAGAGTTAGAGCTAAAGAAGGAGTAGCAATAATGTTGAAGGATAAGCTGTGGCAGGAAAAGAGGGACTAAAAATTTGCATAAATTCAAGGATTATGTGGAGTAAAATAAAGATTGGATGTGAAAAGTGGGTTATAGTAAGCGTGTATGCGCCTGGAGAAGAGAGAAGTGTAGAGGAGAGAGAGAGATTCTGGGAAATGTTGAGTGAATGCGTGGGGAGTTTTGAATCAAGTGTGAGAGTAATGGTGGTTGGGGATTTCAATGCTAAAGTGGGTAAAAATGTTATGGAGGGAGTAGTAGGTAAATTTGGGGTGCCAGGGGTAAATGTAAATGGGGAGCCTTTAATTGAGCTATGTGTAGAAAGAAATTTGGTAATAAGTAATACATATTTTATGAAAAAGAGGATAAATAAATAACAAGGTATGATGTAGCACGTAATGAAAGTAGTTTGTTAGATTATGTATTGGTGGAATAAAAGGTTGATGGGTAGGCTCCGGATGTACATGTTTATAGAGGGGCAATGATATATCGGATCATTATTTAGTTGTAGCTACAGTTAGAGTAAGGGAGATGGGAAAGAGGAAGGTGGCAACAACAAGTAAGAGGGGGTGAAGTGTATAAACTAAGGGAGGAGGAAGTTCGGGTGAGATATAAGTGACTATTGGCAGAAAGGTGGGCTAGTGCAAAGATGAGTAGTGGTGGGGTTGAAGAGGGTTGGAATAGTTTTAAAAAATGCAGTATTAGAATGTGGGCAGCAGAATTTTCTGGTTATAGGAGGGTGGGGGCAGGAGGGGAAAGAGGAGTGATTGGTGGAATGATGAAGTTAAAGGGTGTGATAAAAGAGAAAAAGGTAGCTTATGAGAGGTTTTTACAAAGCAGAAGTGTTATAAGAAGAGCAGAGTATATGGAGAGTAAAAGAAAGGTAAAGAGAGTGGTGAGAGAGTGCAAAAGGAGAGCAGATGATAGAGTGGGAGAGGGGGCCACTGTCAAGAAATTTTAAGGGAAAAATAAAAAAAAAAAAATTTGGAGTGATTTTAAACAATTTAAAAGAAAGGGCCTGGGGAAAAATATGGATTTGTCATTTTAAAAAACAGGTAGGGGAGTTGTGGGTGGGGCTTGGAGGTTTTGGGTGTTTGGCGGAATATTTTGGGGGGAAAATTTTTTAAATTTTAAAGGAAGAAACAGGGGCGTAATTTATGACGGGTCGGGGGGGTTTAAAACCATCTTTAGGAGTGAAGAAAGAGCAAAATTTGTAAGTGTGGGGGGAGGTACGTGGGCATTGGGAAAAATAAAAGGGGGGTTTAAAGCGCTGGAATTTTGATGGGATATGAAAAGAAATTTTAAAACGGGGGGGGATATATTTGTTGGAGTGGTTGGTTTTTTTTTTTAATTTAAATGAAATGAAAGAGGGGAAAAAAAAGGGGTACCAAAAGGATTGGGGGGAAAAGCATTTTTATAGCCCCTTTTATAAAAAGGGAAAGGGGAAAAAAAAAGGACTGTAAAAATTATAGAGGAATAAGCTTACTGAGTTTTCCGGGAAAAAAAGTTTTCGGAAAGGGTTAAAAATTAAAAAGAATTGGGGGTAAGACGGGAATGTAGGATTGGGGGGATACCCAAGGGGGTTTTAAAGGGGTTGGGTAGGGGATGGGTAGATCGGGGTTTTTACATTGAAGCAATATGGAACAGTATTTAGATAAAGTTGGGGAAATTTTTAAATTGCATTTATGGATTTTAAGAAAAGGCATTTTGATGGGAGTGGATTAGGGAGAAATTGGGCGGGTTTGTTGAAATTTTATTTTTGGAAATTTGGGTTTTTAAGTTTTTAAAAATTTTGAAAAGATTTTTTTTTAAAGGTTTAGTGGGCTCAGGTTGGGGGCTTTTTGAAGAGAGGGGGGCCCTTATTTTCCCGGAAAAAGTAGGTCTTAGACGGGGATGTGAAATTGTCCCCGGGTTTGTTTAATTTATTTATAGATGGGGTTGAAAGGAAAGGAAATTTTGCTAGGGTTTTGGGAGAGGGGGGGGTTTAAAATTTATGGGGAATAAAAATTAAAAATGGGAATTGACACAGTTACTTTTTGATGATTTTACTTTTGTTATGGGAGATTCAAAAGAAAATTTCCCAAAGGTTTAAAGTGGATGTTTTTGGGGGAAATGTTTTTGTAAAGGGTAAAAAGTGAAAGTAAACATGGGGAAAAGGAAAGGGGTGTTGGGGGTTAAAATTTGTTTTAGATAAAAAAAAAATTGGGATATAAAATTGGGGGAGGAGGAGTATGGAAGAATTTGAATTTTTTCAGAAAATTGGGAGTTGACGTGTCGGCGGATGGATTTTGAAGGATTGGTTAATCATAGAATTGTTGGGGGAAAAAAAAGGTGGGGTTTGCATTGAGGTATTGTGGAGTTAAAAAAAAAGTTATTATGGAGGCAAAAAAGGGGAAATGTAGGAAAGTATAGAAATTTCCCAACCTCTTATGTGGGTTTAAAGGGTTTTGGGGGGTTTAAATCCCGCAGCGGGAGGGGGTTTGGGGGGGGGCGTGGGGGTTGTCCTTTTTTTAAGGGCAATGTGTGGTGTAAAATTTATGCAGAAAATTTTCTGAGTGTGGAAATTAGGAAGGTGTGGGTTTTAAATAAAAGAAATTTTTCAGAGGGCAGAAGAGGGGGTTGTTGGAAGGGGGTTTGGTCATTTAGAGGGAATGGACAAATTAGAAGGGCCCAGGGAAAAAGCATAAAAAATTTTTAGGGAAAGGAAGGTTTGGGTAGGGGTCGTCCTCAAAAGGGTTTTGGAGAGGGGGGGGGTAAAGGGGGTTTTTTGTGGGAAAGGGGGGTTTTGGGATTCCAGAAAGGTGCTTTGAGAGTTTTTAGATAGGAGTGAATGGGCAAATGGTACTTGGGGCTGCGGGTTGTTTTGGGGTGTGAGCAGGGTAATTTTTTAGTGAAGGGATTAGGGAAAAAAGGTTATTTTTAAAATAGTCGGACTTGAGTCCTGGAAATTGGGGGAAATTTCAATGCCTGCACTTTAAAGGGGGGGTTTGGGGATATTTGGGAGTTTGGGGGGGGATTGTTGTGTATCTTTATTGTGTAGTTTGACGTTGTATTCTGAGCACCCCTGCAAAAAAAGTTTATAATGGCGAGGTGGTGAAAAAAGGGTTTAATGTTTAAAGAAAGTTTTTTTTTTTT